TGATTTTCTGGAGAAAAAAAATCTCAATTTGTCTGTCATAGTTGACGTGTACTTATGATGAAAATTACAGGCCTCTCTCATCTTTTTAAGTGGGAGAACTTGCACAATTGGTGGCTGACTAAATACTTTTTTCCCCCACTGTATATATACTGAGATCATGTGACAGATTAGATTGCACACAGGTGGACTTTATTTAATTAATTATGTGACTTCTGAAGGTAATTGGTTGCACCAGATCTTATTTAGGATCTTCATAGCAAAGGGGGTGAATACATATGCACGCACCACTTTTCCGTTATTAATTTTTTAGAATTTTTTGAAACAAGTTATTTTTTTCATTCCACTTCACCAATTTGGACTATTTTGTGTATGTCCATTACATGAAATCCAAATAAAAATCCATTTAAATTACAGGTTGTAATGCAACAAAATAGGAAAAATGCCAAGGGGGATGAATACTTTTGCAAGGCACTGTATATTGTTATATTACTATATTATATTATATTACGACCCTGCCTTTCTCTAGCGTGTCATTACTTCCCACTCATACTTGATGAACCACTCTAAAGCCATATGTAGGAATTTTCAGAAAGCTTGGTCCTCAAGCTCAATTAAACCTACTTAGTCTATTTCCTTTGCATGGACTCCATTCATTCACATTCTCCACATGGACAGCCTTAAAATAGTCTCAGTGCAGGTGTTACGGATGTCACATTGCTTTCATAGCGAGTACCACTTCCCCCTGATTCGTTCCAACGGTTTGAGCCACCCAAAAGGTACCAAATGGATGGCTCCATCCACGACATTTCAAACTGTCTTACTCAGGCAGTGCCATTAGCTACTATGGTGGTGATGATGCAGGGTTCCTTTTATCCCATCCCCAGTAATATTTAACCAGCTCCTTACCTTGATCTAATGGTAGGCTGGTCGAGCTTTTCAAAGGTGTCCTATTAGCTGCCGCACTATTAGCTTCCCTGTAATAATGTCCAGGTGTGACCCAAGAGTTACCTAGATACAAAGATGTATATTACATTTTACAAACCTGTATCAGTTGTCTGACCAAACTCCCTCAGTTGTCTGACCAAACTCCCTCAGTTGTCTGACCAAACTCCCTCAGTTGTCTGACCAAACTCCCTCAGTTGTCTGACCAAACTCCCTCAGTTGTCTGACCAAACTCCCTCAGTTGTCTGACCAAACTCCCTCAGTTGTCAGACCAAACTCCCTCAGTTGTCTGACCAAACTCCCTCAGTTGTCTGACCAAACTCCCTCAGTTGTCTGACCAAACTCCCTCAGTTGTTAGAGTAGAGTAGTACTTTATTGATCCCTACTTGGGAAATTGTTTTATCAATACATTTCAAGGACAAGACACATAACAATGACAAACATGATAAAAAAACACACCTGAAGACAGATATGAAGGCACATGCACCTTAGTAGCCATACAAGATAGAATCCAATTCAAGGAGTTAGGAAATGCTGTTGTTTATCCTCCTCTGGGGAAACAAGCAACAACCACATTTATAGTAAGAAGACATTGTAAATGAGTTGATCATTAAAAAGCCTCATGGCTGTGGGTAAGAAGGACCGTCTAAACCTCTCTGTGGAGCTTCTGGGCAGGATGAACCTGAACCTGAAGCTGCTCCTGTGCTGCACTACCCTGCTGTAGAGTGGGTGGGTGGCATTGTCCATGATCATGTGTCTTAGCTTGCAGCCTTTTTATGAACCTGCTAGACCAAACTATCTCAGTGGTCCGATTATGGATGCTGTAGATCGAATAAGCCCTTCTAATTTAGCTTGTTGATATCATTGAATTAAACAGGATTTAAAAAACATGCCTTGGCAAGGTATGGTGTCATGCATTGGATTTTGGATTGACAACAGTCAGCATCATTATGTATGTGACACCAATGTAGGCCTATCTAATGATGTATTCTAGGTTCAAATCAATTGGTGTCGTACACAGTCTAGCAGATGTTATAGCAGTTGCAATGAAATGCTTGTGCTACGAGCTCCTAACAGAGCAGCAAAAACTTCTAACAATTACACAAATAATAATAACAAACTGGAAACATGAAATCAGGTATGTCAGGACTAATCCAGTTAACAACCCAAATAACACTGTATCAGTAATACAAATGTAATCTATACGTATCTACACCGGATGGATTTACACAAGATATCCTAAGAATGATATGTACAGCAGTAGATATATTACAGTGAGCTATGTCAAGAATCCAGTATATAAATAAACAGTGTAGCAGTACATGGGACAGCAGCCTTGGCAGTGTGTGTATGTGCGTGTGTTTGTGAGTATTGGCGTATGCGTGTGAGTGAGTGTGTATGTGAGTACAGGAGTCTGTGTGTCTATGAGGTGTGTGTGTGTGTGTGTGTGTGTGTGTGTGTGTGTGTGTGTGTGTGTGTGTGTGTGTGTGTGTGTGTGTGTGTGTGTGTGTGTGTGTGTGTGTGAGAGAGAGAGAGAGAGCTTGTGTGTGTGTTTTGTGTGAGTGAGTCTATCTTTGTCTCAAGTACAAGGTGTGCACATCCAGTACAAAGACAGAACAGATGGATCTCTGTAATGTCTACAATATTGGACGAGTAGGAGAAAAATACTGGAAAAGATAGTGCTTTTTTGTTTTCGTCACAACATTCATTTCAACCAGCCTGCTGCCTGAAGACCAGAGAGAAAAACAAGTAGCACTCTGAAGGCCTAGTTCAAACAGGCTCAGACTAAGTAATACCACAGGTAAATAACTGTGTGGAAAACAGCCCAGCAGTAGTCTGAAGGCCTAGTTCAAACAGGCCCAGACAGTATGATTCCATCCGTATAAAACCATAACATCCAGCCCCATATGCATTGTTTTATGGCATCCATTTTAGGGCATTGTCAGACCAAACTCCCTCAATTGTCTGAGAAAACTCCCTCAGTTGTCCAAATATGGATGCCGAATAGAACATAAGCCCTAATGTAGCTTTTATTTATTTTTTCTAATTTAGCAGGGAAACAAATATCGAAAAAGAGAGTGCTTTTTGTTTTCATGAAAGCAGACATAAAAACAAGGCTGCTTATCAACTGTGTGGAAAACAGCCAAGTAGACTCTGATATGCTGGTTCAATCAGGCCAAAACAGCCAAGTAGACTCTGATATCCTGGTTCAATCAGGCCAAAACAGCCAAGTAGACTCTGATATCCTGGTTCAATCAGGCCAAAACATCCAAGTAGACTCTGATATCCTGGTTCAATCAGGCCAAGCCAGTCTGATTCCTTGCCATTACCACGGGGTATTTTTCCCCCACTACCGTGATGAGCAATCACTCCAACCTCTGATCAATGCTCCATTAAATATTGAAATGGTGCTGTTTAGCACTCCTCCTGATCAGAACCAAGACAATGTAGCTATATACCAGCAAGGATATCAGCTGTGTAACACAATAAGATTTGATCAGAATGTGGATTCAGAAAGAGCATGATCTGTTGCAGTGTTTGTGGGAGGAAAGGCGTGTTTTGTTCAGTAAGATACATCTGTTCTTGTCAGCTGCCACAGTTGGCTCTATGTTAGTGTTTCTCATTAAAAGTTGACAATTGCAAATTAACTCTCATCTTCATATCTAGAAGTCTAGGCTGCTCTCTCTCTCTCTCTCTCTCTCTCTCTCTCTCTCTCTCTCTCTCTCTCTCTCTCTCTCTCTCTGTAAATGTGTAAATATATATATATATATATATATATATATATATATATATACAGTATAAACATATTGTTTTAATAATTAGCATAATGTTGATCTTAATTATCTTAACCCGCAATGATGTTTAAAGACTGCAAAGCTGACAGTTAGTTGGTTGGTTGTTTTGAGTTTGAAATGCCAGGGTCTGAGGTTGAGGAGAAGTCAAAAAGCCAAGACAGTGGAGATGGCAGAGGCTTGTAGTAGGACTGTACCATCCTTCTCTGGACTACTGATGAGTGGTGGGCTTTCTGGCACCAACAGCTGCCGGGGAATCACCCAAGTAGGTAGAACTTATAGTGGAGGTGTAGCTACAAAGTCAAGTGGTTACACTATAAGTAAGTTACATGTAATGTAATAAAACTACTACTATAATAATGTAGAAATACATAATGCTATGTTTATGTGCATTCTTGGCTGAAGATTAATCAAACCTGCATTGGGATTAGCAGCATAATTAACATGGCTCCTTCTTTCCTTAACAAAAAATGGTAATGAAGTAAAAACTAAATAATATAATAGCCTACTTATAATGGTTGATATACAGTATGTGTGCCTCACAGAAAGGGATATATTCATGGTTTTATTTGATTTCCCTGTGGGGGTGATTTGAAATGTGTGTATTTAGCTTCTTCATCACAGCACTTCACTCAGTCTCAGCTGGACTAGTTCTCATATCGTCTTCTGTTTGGAGGTGCTGAGTGCTGTCATCAGAAGCTATTCACAAGGAAAGCTTTTTACTTGTCAAGTTGGCAACACATAAGGTGTTCCTATCTCCATTAGGTAGACCTAGAGCAGTTATTTTTTATGGGTCAAAATGTAAGGGTTAGACATTACGAGACATGATGCTCTCATAATGCCATATTTATTCTGCTGCTGCAAGAAAGACAAAAAAACAGATGAATGAAATATGTCTTCTTTGTGTGAGACTGCAAACAGACATGAACACATGCTACCCCAGCGAAGGTATGTATCTTTCCAGCAGGGCTGTTATTGACGACTTGTCAATCTAAATGGAAACATGTCTGGTCTTTTTAATTCCGCTAGTGCAAGGCTGTTCAACTCTGGTCCTGGAGGGCCAAAACACCCCTGGTTTTCATCCTCTCCTTCTAATCAGGGACTGATTCAGACCTGGGACACCAGGTGAGTACAATTAATAACTACCAGGTAGAAACAAACAACAGAAGTGTTTTGGCCCTCCAGGACCGGAGTTGAACAGCCCTGTCCTAGAGGCTGGAAGCAGCACAGGGTCAGCCGCAGAGCAGCGCCCCTGGGATAGGGTACGGGTTCAGTATCTTGCTGCAGTGCCCCTGGGGCAAGGTAGGGGTTCAGTTCCTTGTTGCAGCGCCCCTGGGGCAGGGTAGGGGTTTCGTGTCTTGCTGCAGTGCCACTGGGACAGGGTAGGGGTTCAGTGTCTTGCTGCAGTGCCCCTGGGGCAAGGTAGGGGTTCAGTTCCTTGTTGCAGCGCCCCTGGGGCAGGGTAGGGGTTTCGTGTCTTGCTGCAGTGCCCCTGGGGCAAGGTAGGGGTTCAGTTCCTTGCTGTATCGCTCCTTGGGCAGGGTAGGGGTTCAGTGTCTTGCTGCAGTGCCCCTGGGGCAAGGTAGGGGTTCAGTTCCTTGTTGCAGCGCCCCTGGGGCAGGGTACAGGTTTCATGTCTTGCTGCAGTGCCCCTGGGACAGGGTAGGGGTTCAGTGTCTTGCTGTATCGCCCCTGGGGCAGGGTAGGGGTTCAGTGTCTTGCTGCAGTGCCCCTGGGGCAGGGTACGGGTTCAGTATCTTGCTGCAGTGCCCCTGGGGCAGGTTAGGGGTTCAGTGTCTTGCTGCAGTGCCCCTGGGGCAGGTTAGGGGTTCAGTGTCTTGCTGCAGTGCCCCTGGGGCAGGTTAGGGGTTCAGTGTCTTGCTGCAGTGCCCCTGGGGCAGGTTAGGGGTTCAGTGTCTTGCTGCAGCACCCCTGGGGCAGGGTAGGGGTTCAGTGTCTTGCTGCAGTGCCCCTGGGGCAGGTTAGGGGTTCAGTGTCTTGCTGCAGCACCCCTGGGGCAGGTTAGGGGTTCAGTGTCTTGCTGCAGCGCCCCTGGGGCAGGTTAGGGGTTCAGTGTCTTGCTGCAGTGCCCCTGGGGCAGGTTAGGGGTTCAGTGTCTTGCTGCAGTGCCCCTGGGGCAGGTTAGGGGTTCAGTGTCTTGCTGCAGTGCCCCTGGGGCAGGGTAGGGGTTCAGTGTCTTGCTGCAGTGCCCCTGGGGCAGGTTAGGGGTTCAGTGTCTTGCTGCAGTGCCCCTGGGGCAGGTTAGGGGTTCAGTGTCTTGCTGCAGTGCCCCTGGGGCAGGGTAGGGGTTCAGTGTCTTGCTGCAGTGCCCCTGGGGCAGGTTAGGGGTTCAGTGTCTTGCTGCAGCACCCCTGGGGCGCTGGTTTAGGTCCACTTGTAGAATCTGTGCCAAGGTGCATTGAAGTTCTTCTGGGAGCTCGTGGTGGCCCAAACGCCCGATTAAGACACTTCATGTTGGTGTTTGTGATAAAACTTAAAGAGCCACTGAACACACCGATTGGCACATATTTTTTCTGTTGCTCATTAGAAAAATGAGATTTCAGTTTCCTGACCGATTTCACATTTGGTTAATTATGTTTGTCCCCCATGACAAACTGTAGACATGGAAGCCTATTTCACTTCCTCAAAGTCCCAAGAATTAATCTAAGATAACTCAAGAAATCTGTAATAAATGTTGACGTTTTGGCCGAGGATGTTTTAGTTGCACAATTTTACATCTAACTAAGGTGTTTGGTGCATTATTTCTCAAGTAAAATAAACGCAAAACGTGTTGTCTTATGTAAACAGTCGGAGCTGCTGGGCAGGCATGTCTCACTGTCTATGCTATTGGATAGAGAGCAATCACCGCAGCTGTTCACCCCATGTTAGTGGGCAAAGGGACACCGTCAAATCAAAACCCAACCTTCATTTACCCAGTGTGACGCACAGATGTTACAAACTCTGTTGTAGACTAAACTGACTTTATGACCAAAATTATTTTATTTACACTTTGTAGTCAATTTTGACACTAGAATAACTGTTTCTGACTCATATTGATGCCTCAAAAGGATTCGTTGCTTTTTAAAAGCAGTCGCTCTTTAATCCACAGTCGTTTTTTGTTTTCTTTCAAAAGGTTCACCTTTGATCGAGTCTGCCTTGAGTGCCAGGTTGGCAAAGTTGGCACTTTTGGACCATTCTATTGTTTCCATTGTGCTGGGAAAGCTCAACCAAACACAAATACTATTTTAACCCAGCTCTGAAAACCAGGGTCGTGTTCATTAAGGCACGGAACAGAATTTTTAAACAATCATCATAAAAAAAACGAAAAAGAGTGTTTCTCATTGGACAAGTTCAGGTAGTACCTCCCTATTTCAGTCCGTTCTCTTCCGTTTAGTGCCTAATGAACACGACCCAGGCCTGAACACCAGTGGATGCTCCAGAAAGTAACTTACTGCAGAAGAGGAAGTAGGATGCAGAGCCGGCCAGCAGGCTGGGATTCCTGGCCAGAGAGCTGACCAGACCACAGATCCCTCCCAACACGACCAGCAACAGACTGAGAGGCAGCAGGATGACTATCACCTTGTGGGAGTCTGCAGGAAGACCCAGAATGCAAAGCATGCAGGGTTACTGTGATCTGGAAAAATACATATCACTGTACATTGTCCTCTCACCAACACATGTCCACACAGTGTGTGTATGTTTGTGTGTCTGTGAAGCATTTATTTGGGCTGCAATTTCTGAGGCTGGTAATGAACGTATCCTCTGCAGCAGAGGTAACTCTGGGTCTTCCATTCTTGTGGCAGTCCTCATAAGAGCCAGTTTCATCATAGCGCTTGATGATTTTTGCGAAACTTTCAAAGATCTTGACATATTCATGTCTTAAATTAATGATGGACTGTCATTTCTCTTTGCTTTTTGAGCTGTTCTTGACATAATATGGACTTGGTCTTCTGTATACCAACCCTACCTTGTCACAACACAACTGATTGGCTCAAACGCATTAAGGAAAGAAATTCCACAAATTAACTTTTAACAAGGCACACCTGTTAATTGAAATGCATTCCAGGTGAATACCTCATGACCTGTTGAGAGAATGCCAAGAGTGTGCAAAGCTGTCATCAAGGCAAAGGGTGGCTACTTTGAAGAATCTCAAACATAAAACATATTTTGATTTGTTTAACACTTTTTTTGTTACTACATGATTCCATATGTGTTATTTCATAGTGTTGATGTCTTCACTATTATTCTACAATGTAGAAAATAGTAAAAAATTAAGAAAAACCCTGGAATGTGTAGGTGTGTCCAAACTTTGACTGGTACTGTACATACACACACACACACACATCTGACAGCCTTCTCACCTTTCTGCACTCACACACACACACACACACACACGTTTGACAATTATAGAAATATATCCAAAATATCCATTAAAAAATAACAACTTTGTTTCTCAGCTTGGTCTGTTTCACCACCATCTTCCTGAAATGCTACTTGTCCTTAAGTCATATGTCCACTACAGGCCGATAAAAGCTCAACTACATGTTTTGTAATGAACCTTTTCATTGTATGGGGTCTATATTGTACTGTCCAAGTGGAGTCCAACGATGCTGATTCACTTTGTAAACAGTGAGCCCATCGTACAGACTCAACAACCTGTAATGTTGTGAGTGGGTGTGACAGAGCTTGAACTAACTACAGTCTGTGTCCATTTGGGACGGGATTTAATTATGTGCACGAGCACAAAACACCACATCTGTAATTGTAGTCCTGTAAGAATCTGCCATGTCAGTAATTTTTACATGGCAGGAGAGTAACAATTCCAGCCAGAATAACCTACAGTTTTTTGGCGAACTCCAAGGTCCTCTGATAATACTAGTCCCGTGCGAATTGACATCCCTGTTATTTTAGAGAAATTAGTTTGACAGGTGTTGCTCGCGGTTTGAGCAAGAAAACAATAACTGATTCGATAAATTGAACTAAGTGCTGCGCATAAACTATATATGAATGGCCTACATGTATCACCTTTCACAGTGAATGCATTTGTTTATACGTTGTGTGCGTATTAATTGAATATTGCCAAATGCATCAGTAAAAATATTGTGCCTAATTAATGCAATCATTGCTGTTAATAGATTGCAAAGCAGCATACAACTAAATTACCTAAACGTTTGGAAATGATAAGTTAACTTTCTCATCCATAGGCTTAAAATGCACCTCAAGTGCAATTGCACTGTTTAGCTCACATCTGAAGGCTGTGGGGCATTTAGGATGTGCTGCTAAAATATTCTAATGATTATGATCACACTTCCTCAATTCAAATATTATGACGACACTATACCAAAGATGGTTTGTTATGGTTTAGAAACTTGGGAACCAAGCTTGAGTTATCAGTGTGGCCCTATCACCTGGACATATCTTCACGCTTAGAATTAAAACCTCCAGCCTTCCATCATAAATGTCAATTTATTGAGAAAAAAAAGTATGAATAAAAACTAATCCAGTCCGAATCGTCCTCTGGAATAACGGACATTCTGGAGTAATAATTACATAACCAACATTCTCTAAAGTCTTCCAAGAAGCAGCCGTTGGAGGCTACATAGCAGAGGCCACATACTCACTGATAAGGTGCTTCTCTATCTCAGTTTTGTTGGAGGTATCCACAAAGAAGGACTGGATTGGCCAAGAGGTGGCATTTTTCCCTGTAAAGAAGAGCAAACACAAGATATGTGTTGACCTTTCAGACCGGTAGACTATACCTAAAATGTCATGCATGCATGACTGTAAGTCGCTTTGGATAAAAGCTTCTGCTAAATGGCAGGTATTGCATATTATATTAGACCTCTCAGACTGGTAGACATGCAAGACAATGTTAAAATACCAGTCAAAAGGTAGGCTTATGACACATACCTATGGCTGTGTAAGGCCTATCTAGTTGCTAATGTCCGGTTACTAAGTGTGTGCCTAACATCGATAGCTGCTTCACTGCTGAGCTCTCAGACAAAAATCTTTACAGGGCATGAATCAACAAATCTATAGCAATGATTGATACTGTTGACACACTGTGTACTGCAGTAATGTGCTGTAGCACTTGACTTGATACACTATCAGACACTGCAGGTGCCCCCTGCGTAATATGTCACTCCCCTATGGATCCGTCCCAAACGGCACCTTATTTCCTATGTAGTGCACTACTTTTGACCAGAGATCTATGCAAATAGGGTGTGATTTGGGACACATCTTACTGTCTGCAACAGGAATATGCTCTATGTTGACAGAGATGCTGTTTAAAAAACAGGGGAAAGAAACAAGTGTGCTATGTTGATGTGGGAAAAAATGCTTCTAAAGTGCATCTGTTTATTGTAATGTGTTGTGCATGCAAATTAGTCTCGGTGGGTGAGATTAGCTGATTTACAACAGAGATGCCTATACACCAGGATTCGGTCCATTCTGAAAGGGGCAGCAATTTGAAGGTAAAACTAAAATCAGTTTTTGTAGTTGAATTTAAATAAATGTAATCTAAAATAAAGTAAGGAAAGCAAAATTAGATTTGGAATGAGAGCGAAAAAACCTACATTAACATATATTTCCCATGGGGCAAAAACTGGTTGAATCAACATTGTTTCCACATAATTTCACCCAAAAAAATGCAATGTGATGAGGGTTGAATCAACATGGAAAAGTGATTGGATTTGCAAAATGTCATCAATTTATGTGAATTTCGTATTTTCTTTCACCCAACTTTTAACCTAAATGACATTTTTGGTTGATTTACGTTAGTTGACAACTCAACCAAATATACATTAAAACTAGACGTTGAACTGACGTCTGTGGGTCGTGGTAGCAGGCTGACATGGGTGGTGCAACAGGTTTAAATTAGGCATATGTATTCCAAGTTATTAGACAAGCTACCAGAAATCACAGCGCAATGTATCGTGAACCGCTATATCAAAGTGTGCGCGCACTAGGCTACGGCATTTGATTTGGGGTACGTAAAAAAAAAACATGAATGTGGTATACGATTGTTAATTAGGTGGACATACCTTCACGGATCCTCCAGAGACCGGAATGCGAACTCAGGTCCTCCAAGTCCGACAGGTTCGCTCTGTTCACATCGATGATGTACCAATAGTCGCTCCCAATTGCCACTGCAAGAAAGCTGAAGCTGAGTAAACCTGAAAAGCCAGCCGTGATAACAACCATTCCGTACTTCATTGTTGTCTAAACTTCGTTAAAAACAAATCCGTGAGCAATTCAAATGAACTTCATGGTCACAAAGAAATCCGTATCACACAACGGTCTAGACCCGCACCCGAGATTGAGAAATGCGCAAAGCTCTCCAACATGGTCTTTATTCTACTCCCCGGCAGTCTCGTGCTGACTTGTCAAATTATCCTCCGCCACATCTGGTCACGAGGGTTCTGTTTTGATCATTTCAAATATAATGGAACGAATAATAAAAGAGAACTGCGCTTTGAAATAGTAAATAACGGGAGAGAGGGAGTAGCCGACCGATGCATTATTAGCTACTACTGAGAGGGTCCGTTGCTTATGTAACCCACTCCTCATTCCTGGGTTAGTACAGCAATGCTAGGCTCGTAGGAGCAGTGAGAGTAAACATTAGGCCCTATAAATAAAATGCGCAGGACACCATGAATACATTTTAATAGAAAATAGTCCGGATTTAGTAGCAATATGAAGATAAAACACAATAGATAAATACTTTACTTTGAGTAACTTTTCTAGCTTTAAACTCGAAATGAAAACTTTTGTCCGATGCTGAAGAGGACTCAAAAGGCACTCTATTTTCTATTTTCTCTCTATCTCGAGCTGGTTGGACAGAAGGTTCTCATCTGAGAGCTGTCAATCAGAGGGCGGGACTGTCAATGGGAAAACCAATAGAATAAAGGAGTGTGCAGTGTTGATAAAACTATTGGCTCAAATGAAATATACTAAACTATTAGCTTAATATGTACTCAATTTAAGCAATGGGTTACACCTAGCCGAGAGGGTACTTGTACATTTACTGAGTGCATACATTATTTTTTAATACTTCTTTTCATACCCCCGTGGGAATCGAACCCACAACCCTGGCGTTGCAAACGCCATGCTCTACCAATTGAGCTACATCCCTGCCGGCCATTCCCTCCCCTACCATAGACGACGCTGGGCCAATTGTGCGCCGCCCCATGGGTCTCCCGGTCACGGCCGGCTACGACAGAGCCTGGATTCGAACCAGGATCTCTAGAGGCACAGCTAGCACTGCCCCGCCACTCGGGAGGTTCGCTTGTAACATTGGCTATGACGCTGCAGCCCAGTCCTACGCAATTCTCTTATAACGTGTTTGATGCGCAGTAGCACTGCTAATATGCTAATATATGTTGTATTTCAGTAGCGAGTCTATTTTGGAACGGCTGATCCAGTACACGAAACACTTAATGGATGACGACCTACATTTCGGAACTTTTAATAATATTGTGACAATTTCTGAAAATGGCCAGTCAATGGCCAGTCAAGAAATCAGTCAGGATACCTGGAATGGAGGAATTTTGTAATAGTAGTAGGCTAATTCTATAGCAAGCTGGGTCCACAATTATTGAATTGGATTACATTGTATTCAGCACCCTCTCATGTCCTCATCAATCAATCAATCAATTTTATTTTATATAGCCCTTCTTACATCAGCTAATATCTCGAAGTGCTGTACAGAAACCCAGCCTAAAACCCCAAACAGCTAGTAATGCAGGTGTAGAAGCACGGTGGCTAGGAAAAACTCCCTAGAAAGGCGAAAACCTAGGAAGAAACCTAGAGAGGAACCAGGCTATGAGGGGTGGCCAGTCCTCTTCTGGCTGTGCCGGGTGGAGATTATAACAGAACCATGCCAAGATGTTCAAAAATGTTCATAAGTGACAAGCATGGTCAAATAATAATCAGGAATAAATCTCAGTTGGCTTTTCATAGCCGATCATTAAGAGTTGAAAACAGCAGGCCTGGGACAGGTAGGGGTTCCATAACCGCAGGCAGAACAGTTGAAACTGGAATAGCAGCAAGGCCAGGCGGACTGGGGACAGCAAGGAGTCACCACGGCCGGTAGTCCCGACGTATGGTCCTAGGGCTCAGGTCTCTCAGTTGGCTTTTCATAGCCGATCATTAAGAGTTGAAAACAGCAGGTCTGGGACAGGTAGGGGTTTCGTAGCCGCAGGCAGAACAGTTGAAACTGGAATAGCAGCAAGGCCAGGCGGACTGGGGACAGCAAGGTGTCATCATGCCCGGTAGTCCTGACGTATGGTCCTAGGGCTCAGGTTCTCAGAGAGAAAGAGAGAACGAGAGAATTAGAGAGAGCATACTTAAATTCACACAGGACACTGGATAAGACAGGAGAAGTACTCCAGGTATAACCAACTAACCCCAGCCCCCCGACACATAAACTACTGCAGCATAAATACTGGAGGCTGAGACCGGAGCGGTCCGGAGACACTGTGGCCCCATCCGAAGAAACCCCCGGACAGGGCCAAACAGGAAGGATATAACCCCACCCACTCCGCCAAAGCACAGCCCCCGCACCACTAGAGGGATATCCCCAACCACCAACTTACAATCCTGAGACAAGGCCGAGTATAGCCCACAGAGGTCTCCACCACAGCACAAACCAAGGGGTTTGTCCCCAATTGACATGGAGTGATCCCTGGGTTCCCTGAGGCTCTTGCACAAGCCTATGCTCTAGATTGGGGAGCTAACAACACATTTCCTAGTCAGGCTACCACCCAGATTTGGGGTTTTAGGCTGGGTTCCTCTATAAGCACTTTGTGACATCTGCTGATGTAAAAAGGGCTTTATAAATACATTTGATTGATAGATACTAAAATACTACATAAAGAATAAGAAGGTCAATAGGATGTTTCTCTCACCATTTTTAATTAACTTGCAGCATCAAAATGTGTTACATTTCATGTTCAGAGAAGCATGGTCAAAACCCTAATCTGCAGAAACATTCTGTTTAATGGAGATTGTAGAGATCAGGGCCATGATCAAAAAATAATTACATGGTGTGTGACTCTCAAAGACAACCTCAACCAAACAGCCATACAAGTGTTGTTTTAAATAACTAAATAAGAGTAGCAAGTCTGGTAACAATTTAAATAAAGCCTGCAGATATAATGCTTTATAACATGTTATAAACATGAATGAGCGTTATAACAAGGCTTATAGTTATGTTTTGGAAGGTATTCAGACAGCATTTATTATGAGATGATTGTAAGGGGATCATATGTGCCTATGGCAAGTCTTACAATGCTTTATACCCACAGGCTTTAAAGTCAAATGTTACTGCAAGTCCCTGTTGATTTCAATCGGTCAACAGATAATGGACGAAGCAACTTCAACAGCTCCTGCAGTGTAGATGTACAAGTACAGCCTTGATTGATGAACAAGTACACGCTTAGAAAAAAGGGTTCCAAAAGGGTTCTTCAGCTGTCCCAATAGGAGAACCCTTTTTCGTTCCAGGTAGAACCTCCTTTGGTTCCAGGTGAAACTATTTTGGGTTCCATGTAGATCCCTCTGTGTAAAGGATTCTACGTGGAACAAAAGGGTTCTGCCTGGAACCAAAAAGTGGTTTTCAAAGGGTTCTCCTATGGCAGGGGAATTCAAACCCTTAACCAACGGGGTCCGAAGCCTGCTGGTTTTCTGTTCTACCTGGTAATTAATTGCACCCACCTGGTGTCCCAGGTGTAAATCAGTCCCTGATTAGAGGGCAACAATGAAAAAACGCAGTGGAACTGGCTTCACGTCGAGGTCCAGAGTTGAGTTTGTGTGTCCTATGGGAACAGCCGAAGAACCCTTTTAGGTTCTAGATAGCACCTTTTTCTCTAAGAGTGTACAGCCAATTCAAACTACATTAACAATCAACTGGTGCAGAGCCATGTCAAGTGATAACACTCGACACAAAATGAACCAGGGGTTCAATCCCCATCTACCTTTTCTACTGTGCCTTCCATCCTCATCTAGATCCCCCTGTAAATCAAATCTGTCTAAGAAGAAAGAAGTAAGCCTTCTCTGAACCAGAATGGCCCATAGAGCAGCAGCCTATTACCTGTTTCTGTAGGTTGATGCAGCTGGATGTACAACCCTCTGGACAGGATGCTCGTCTGTCACAGGGCCTTACCCACAATCCATCTCCTTAATGCTGAGTATCAAATCGAACCCCCAACCTTCCAATCTCAGGACGGACACTAACCACAAAGTCTCTGAGTTGTTAGATCTGTCTAAAGTGTTTGGGGTGAGTTGATTGCAGGACAGAGGCTCAAGGAGAGGGTATGGCTAAAACAGGGAGAGGTGGGATAAAACTAGAGGGCATCCATAGAGATGGATAGAGGGCACACTTGCCACAAAGCCTGTTTAGCATGGCCAGCGCCACTGTTTAGCATGGCCCGCCACTGAAGGTTTTAAGTCTTTAAGTAGTCAAATGGGTGGGACGTCCTATGGGTTAAGGGAGATCACAGAATTCACACAGAATTCCATCCAGGTCAGCAAACCTTGGCTTTATTCCTGTTTAGACTATACACACTGCAGTAGAGCAGGTGGTGGTATGCACCTTTTCACTTTGTTTACGTACCGCCGATAAACTTGTAGAAGAAGAAATTGACTACTTTAAAAGGGAGATAGCCCTAAATGCCACTGTCCATGCTGTCACTGATGCGAAAACAGCAAATGGGGGTGGGCCCTCTTTCCAACTCAATGGGTGCACCATGGAAGATTTTTTAAAGCCCCATGGCAGGACATCAGAGCAGCACTTGATAGTGTTGTGTGTGTTTGAGTTTCACAACCTTGCAGTCAGACCGGACAGAATCACTGATCTAAATAACATCCTAAATAACTACAATTCTGTGCTTCGCCATTGGTCAAACGGATTCCCTGAAACCGTGGGTTTTATCGTCTTGTGACTGCAGACTTGTAGACTGACATGATAAAGTACAACCCATACAGTCCCCCACACAGAGTCAGAAAGGGTTAGAACAGAGGTATTCAACTCTTACCCTACAAGGTCCGGAGCCTGCTGGTTTTCTGTTCTACCTGATAATGAATTGCACACACCTGGTGTCCCAGGTCTAAATCAGTACCTGATTAGAGGCGAACAATGAAAGAAATGAAGTGGAGCTGGCTTCGAGGTCCAGAGTTGAGTTTGAAGGGATTAGAACATTTCAAATCACCCTTGTAGTATGCACCCCTCTCAAACTGTTTTGGTCTCTTGCTTTTCCCTCATGTTGATATCTTACAACTTTCTAGTACTGTGATACTAGTGAATGGTCCCACATGGTGGACAACTGATGTTTTCCTGTCTTTGTTATAATTAATTCAAATGTGCTATATAATCTGTAGCAGGACCAGACATTGGCCCTGTTCGACTACTCTTTAAATACATCCTCCAAGTAATCACTGATCTGACATGCAAGGTTGCTTACATCAGTCATGTCAAATCAGTGATTACTTCAAGGAAGGGAAGAAGGATTGTATTGCATCGTGAGTCCCGTGTGGCTCAGTTGGTAGAGCATGGCGCTTGCAACGCCAGGGTTGTGGGTTCGATTCCCACGGGGGAGCCAGTATGAGAAAAAATGAAAAATAAAATGTATGCATTCACTAACTGTAAGTCGCTCTGGATAAGAGCGTCTGCTAAATGACTAAAATGTAAAAAGTTGTAATTCAAACAGGGCCATTCGGGCTACTCTGGGCTACACACACAGGGCCATTTGGGCTACTCACACAGGGCCATTTGGGCTACTCTGGGCTACTCACACAGGGTCATTTCGGCTACACACACAGGGCCATTTGGGCTACTCTGGGCTACACACACAGGGCCATTTGGGCTACTCTGGGCTACACACACACAGGGCCATTTGGGCTACTCTGGGCTACACACACAGGGCCATTTGGGCTACTCTGGGCTACACACACAGGGCCATTTGGGCTACTCTGGGCTACACACACAGGGCCATTTGGGCTACTCTGGGCTACACACACAGGGCCATTTGGGCTACTCTGGGCTACACACACACAGGGCCATTTGGGCTACTCTGGGCTACACACACAGGGCCATTTGGGCTACTCAGCTGATTTCTTGTCCTCTTTGGAAGCAGTGAGTATGTTCGGGAGCAGTGTTGGGCAATCATTGTACTGATAACACTGTTGTTGAAGACAACAGTAAACATCACAACAAGAAATATTAACGTGAAAAGCTGCCTTTATTCAGGCATCCAGATAATAATTTAAGTACCGGTATACAGCATGTAATGCCTTTTTGTATAGGCTGTGTGAGTGACCAAAATTAGCAGATTTGATTAAGTATTCTCTGTTGTTGATGTTGGCAATGTCACTTGAAAAAAAAAACAACATTTAGATAACATATGCTTTTTTTGGAAAACAAATAAAATATAATAAAATAAACACAAATAAATAACTTTCTACACATTTTCACTTTTTACCAATACAAAACAAAAAAGTGGGAGTGGCCTCCCATTTGCAGCTAACGTAGAAAGGAGAGTAGTGAAAATGTTCCCCAGTCAGTCTGTGTACTGTATCTTTGTGGGTTGAGCTGTGAACCCAGGTGGGAACCTGGTCCCCCCTCTCTCCTTCACTCTCCATACTGCCCCTCTCTCCTTCACCCTCCATACTGCCCCTCTCTCTTTCTCCCTCCACGTACTTCAGGGGTCGTCGGAGGTCGCGCCAGGTTAGTACTCCCATAGACAGGAGGGGTCCACGGTTGCGGCGTCACCCTTCAGCGCGCCGCTGTCCCCACGCAGGTACTTGCCGTTCTTGCCCTTGATTCCCACTCGCCCGTGCTCCAGGAACTCCAGGAAGAAGTCCTCAGGCTTGTCTCCGTCTGAGCACACCAGGCCGCTGCTGGAGACGTACCAGAACTTTCCACCCACGCCTGAGTGGAGATGGACAACGTTATTGTTAGTTAGAGATGAAGAGTCACATACTTAATTTGGTGTACGTTGTAGTAATACTGATAGGACTATGACACCTTTTACTCTAAGACAGCAGGACACAGTAATACTGATAGGACTATGACACCTTTTACTCTAAGACAGCAGGACACATGCAGATAGAACATTTACACATACGTGGGACATGAAAACATACACACACATGCAAACATGCGTACATGCATCCATGCAAGCACACACACACACACATCCACCCTCCACCCGCACACACACGGCACACACTGACTTTGTATGTGGTAGGCGCCATCGCTGAAGAGCAGTGAGAAGATGTCATAGACAGATCGGTTGGCATCCAGCGTGTTGGAGCTCTTGTGATGACACACAAAACCGTTCTCCCCTCGCAGGATCAACATGGGCCGATTAATGAGCTTCATCAGGAAGAGCTCATCATCACCTGCAACACAACAACAGGAAGATAGAATAACAATAATGACAATAATAACAATAATAATAACAATAATGACAATAATAACAATAATAATAACAATAATGACAATAATAACAATAATGACAATAATAATAACAATAATGACAATAATAATAACAATAATAATAACAATAATGACAATAATAACAATAATAATAACAATAATAATAATTTGGTGGGTGCTTATATCTGTCCTATTTCCCACATCTACAAGTGTGTATTAATACGCATGTGTGAATTGGAACCCTCTGGGCACAGACGTTCAACATCTATTTTTGATTTACATTTGGTTGACTAATGTGAATTCAACGTGAAATCAACAAAAAATGTCACCATGACATTGAATTTAAGTTGGGTGAAAAAATGACAAACTTCCTTTAGGTTGATGACTTTTTGCAAATCCAATCATTTTTCCACGCTGATTCAACGTCCTCACCTTGAATATGTTTGTTGAAATGACATGGAAACAATGTTGATTCAATCAGTTTTTGCCCAGTGGGAAATGTTTTTTTTGCATATCCCAACTCCCCCTGAGAGTGGGGTCACAGCCAGGTTAGGCTTTAATAACATGTTCTTTGAAAAGGACTGGCCATAGGGTGGTAGAGCCATAGGGCAGTAGGGACGTAGGGTGGTAGAGCCATAAGGCAGTAGGGCCATAGGGTGGCAGGGCGGTAGGGCCATAGGGACGTAGGGACGTAGGGCAGTAGGGCGGTAGGGCGGTAGGGTCATAGGGATGTAGGGCGGTAGGGCGGTAGGGCGGTAGGGTGGTAGGGCGGTAGGGACGTAGGGCCGTAGGGACGTAGGGCCGTAGGGACGTAGGGCCGTAGGGACGTAGGGACGTAGGGCCGTAGGGACGTAGGGACGTAGGGACGTAGGGACGTAGGGCGGTAGGGCCGTAGGGCCGTAGGGCGGTAGGGCGGTAGGGCCGTAGGGCCGTAGAGACGTAGGGACATAGGGCCATAGGGTGGTAGGCGGTAGGGCCGTAGGGACGTAGGGATGTAGGGCAGTAGGGCCATAGGGCCGTAGGGCCGTAGGGCGGTAGGGCCGTAGGGCGGTAGGGCCATAGGGACGTAGGGACGTAGGGCCATAGGGTGGTAGGGCCATAGGGACGTAGGGACGTAGGGCCATAGGGTGGTAGGGCCATAGGGATGTAGGGATGTAGGGACGTAGGGCCATAGGGTGGTAGAGCCATAGGACGTAAGGACATAGGGACGTAGGGCCATAGGGCGGTAGGGCGGTAGGGCCATAGGGACGTATAGCGGTAGGGCCATAGGGACGTAGGGACGTAGGGCCATAGGGTGGTAGGACCATAGGGATGTAGGGTCCTCTGTAGCTCAATTGGTAGAGCATGGCGCTTGTAACACCAGGGTAGTGGGTTCGATCCCCGGGACCACCCATACGTAAAAATGTATGCACACATGACTGTAAGTCGCTTTGGATAAAAGCGTCTGCTAAATGGCATATTATTATTTTATTATTACGTAGGGCCATAGGGATGTAGGGACGTAGGGATGTAGGGACGTAGGGACATAGGGTGGTAGAGCCATAGGACGTAAGGACATAGGGACGTAGGGCGGTAGGGCGGTAGGGGCGGTAGGGACGTAGGGACGTAGGGCGGTAGGGCCATAGGGATGTAGGGATGTAGGGACGTAGGGACGTAGGGACGTAGGGATGTAGGGCCGTAGGGCGGTAGGGCCGTAGGGCGGTAGGGCGGTAGGGCGGTAGGGCCATAGGGACGTAGGGACGTAGGGTGGTAGGGCGGTAGGGCGGTAGGGCAGTAGGGCGGTAGGGCGGTAGGGCCGTAGGGACGTAGAGACGTAGGGACGTAGGGACGTAGGGCCATAGGGTGGTAGGCGGTAGGGCCGTAGGGACGTAGGGATGTAGGGCAGTAGGGCCATAGGGCGGTAGGGCCGTAGGGCGGTAGGGCCATAGGGACGTAAGGCGGTAGGGCCGTAGGGCGGTAGGGCCATAGGGACGTAGGGACGTAGGGCCATAGGGTGGTAGGGCCATAGGGATGTAGGGATGTAGGGACGTAGGGCCATAGGGTGGTAGAGCCATAGGACGTAAGGACATAGGGACGTAGGGCCATAGGGCGGTAGGGCGGTAGGGCCATAGGGACGTATAGCGGTAGGGCCATAGGGACGTAGGGACGTAGGGACGTAGGGACGTAGGGACGTAGGGCCATAGGGTGGTAGGGCCATAAGGACGTAGGGACGTAGGGCCGTAGGGTGGTAGGGTGGTAGAGACGTAGGGCAGTAGGGTCGTAGGGCAGTAGGGACGTAGGGCAGTAGGGCCGTAGGGACGTAGGGCAGTAGGGCAGTAGGGACGTAGGGCAGTAGGGACATAGGGCAGTAGGGCAGTAGGGATGTAGGGCAGTAGGGACGTAGGGCAGTAGGGCAGTAGGGTCGTAGGGCAGTAGGGCAGTAGGGACGTAGGGCAGTAGGGATGTAGGGCAGTAGGGCAGTAGGGACGTAGGGCAGTAGGGACATAGGGCAGTAGGGCAGTAGGGACGTAGGGCAGTAGGGCAGTAGGGCAGTAGGGTGTAGGGCAGTAGGGCAGTAGGGCAGTAGGGCCGTAGGGCAGTAGGGACGTAGGGCAGTAGGGAAGTAGGGACGTAGGGCAGTAGGGCAGTAGGGACGTAGGGCAGTATGGCAGTAGGGCAGTAGGGCATTAGGGACGTAGGGCAGTAGGGCAGCAGGGCAGTAGGGCAGTAGGGACGTAGGGCAGTAGGGACGTAGGGCAGTAGGGACGTAGGGCAGTATGGACATAGGGCAGTAAGGACATAGGGCAGTTTGGACAAATGCCAGAAGGGCCACTGGATTTTAGCCCAGTGGATCTGTCAGAATTCTATTTTTAAGCTAGTAATGGGGCCCGAGAGGAAAAATGGGCCAGTGTGGGAAATGCCCGGGCCGATTTCTGGTCCCAGTTCATCCCTGTCCTTTGATCACCACTGATCTTCTATTCTTCCTCTTTTTCATCCTCTGATCAGGTGCCAATTCTCTTTACACATGACATGTGCTCATTCATCCCTCAGTTGTGGTGAGCACATTCCACGTGACACGTTGTAGCGGTACTGTTAGAGAGGGTAAAGATAACGTGATCTCTATGCTAAATGAATCACATCAGAGATTTGGATCTCGAAGCACTTACCTACGGAATCGCTGACGGCCGAAAGCTGCCCGTTCTTTTTGGTGCACACGTACTTCCCATTGCTTGCCTTCAGTGCTACACTGCGGCCGAGCCATTCAATATGAAACATTGTGTTGGCCTCCCTGTGGTTGTCCGGATGGGGGAGGAAAGAAAACAATGAAAATATAGCTTATTTTTAAAAAGTTGAATTTCTTGGAAGGTTGTTTAAAAAATATCTAGTTTTATTGTTTAAACCAAAGTGTTTCGATGAATGCCCTCATAAGCGACATTATGTAAAACTGCTCATTTACAGTTGAAGTCGGAAGTTTACATACACCTTAGCCAAATACATTTAAAGTCCGTTTTTCACAATTCCTGACATTTAATCCTAGTAAAAGTTCCCTGTCTTAGGTCAGTTAGGATCACCACTTTATTTTAAGAATGTGAAATGTCAGAATAATAGTAGAGAGAATTATTTATTTCAGCTTTTATATCTTTCATCACATTCCCAGTGGGTCATAAGTTTACATACACTTAATTAGTATTTTGTAGCATTGCCTTTCAATTGTTTAACTTGGGTCAAACGTTTCGGATTGCAGTCCACAAGCTTCCCACAATAAGTTGGGTGAATTTTGGCCCATTCCTCCTGACAGAGCTGGTGTAACTGAGTCAGGTTTGTAGGCCTCCTTGCTCACAAACACTTTTTCAGTTCTGCCCACAAATGTTCTATAGGATTGAGGTCAGGGCTTTGTGATGGCCTCTCCAATACCTTGACTTTGTTGTCCTTAAGCCATTTTGCCACAACTTTGGAAGTATGCTTGGGGTCATTTTCCATTTGGAAGACCCATTTGCGACCAAGCTTTAACTTCCTGACTGATGTCTTGAGATGTTGCTTCAATATATTCACATAATTTTCCTTCCTCATGATGCCATCTATTCTAAGTCCCTCCTGCAGCAAAGCACCCCCACAGCATGATGCTGCCACCTCTGTGCTTCACGGTTGGGATGGTGTTCTTCGGCTTGCAAGCCACCCCATTTTTCCTCCAAACATAACGATGGTCATTATGGCCTAACAGTTCTATTTTTGTTTCATCAGACCAGAGGACATTTCTCCAAAAAGTACGATCTTTGTCCCCATGTGCAGTTGCAAACCATAGTCTGCCTTTTTTATGGCGGTTTTGGAGCAGTGGCTTGCTGAGTTGCCTTTCAGGTTATGTCGATATAGGACTCGTTTTACTGTGGATATAGATACTTTTGTACCTGTTTCCTCCAGCATCTTCACAAGGTCCTTAGCTGTTGTTCTGGGATTGATTTGCACTTTTCGCACCAAAGTATGTTCATCTCTAGGAGACAGAATGCATCTCCTTCCTGAGCGGGATGACGGCTGCGTGGTCCCATGGTGTTTATACTTGCTTACTATTGTTTGTACAGATGAACGTGGTACCTTCAGGCGTTTGGAAATTGCTCCAAAGGATGAACCAGACTTGTGGAGGTCTACAATTTTTTTTCTGAGGTCTTGGCTGATTTCTTTAGATTTTCCCATGATGTCAAGCAAATAGGCACTGAGTTTGAAGGTAGGCCTTGAAATACATCCACAGGTACACCTCCAATTGACTCAAATGATGTCAATTAGCCTATCAGAAGCTTCTAAAGACATGACATCATTTTCTGGAATTTTCCAAGCTGTTAAAAGGCACAGTCAACTTAATGTATGTAAACTTCTGACCCACTGGAATTGTGATACAGTGAATTATAAGTGAAATAATCTGTCTGTAAACAATTGTTGGAAAAATGACTTGTGTCATGCACAAAGTAGATGTCCTAACCGACTTGCCAAAACTATAGTTTGTTAACAAGAAATGTGTGGAGTGATTGAAAAACGAGTTTTAATGACTCCAACTTAAGTGTAACTTAATTCAACTGTATATCCTCAGGTCGTAGATCTGTTTTAGTAGAGGGGTTTCCCTATCCATTCTTCAGGCACCCTAAACTGTGGCACATACTTGTTCTATTCCAGAACAATCACACTATGATTAAATTCATGTGGTTATTATTTGACGAGTTGAATCATGTGTGCTAGTTCTGGTAACACAACATCTGAATGTCCAACAGATAATGTTAGCATGTTAGCAAGAATGTCAAAAATAATGAATTGGGAAACCGTCTGTAGCCAACTCTGTGGTGTGCATTCTCATGACAAACTAGTGAGTGTAAAATAGATACATACACCTCCGTGGCTGTGGACTGGATCCCTCCGTGGGAGACCAGTGTCCAGTAGTTACCACCGTTGGTCCTAAACATGCACTTCTTGCTCTCCTTATCAATCTCCATCTGGAAGGTCTCCATGTCTGTCTCCACATCCTGGTTGGCTGAGATGCTCACACCTATAATGATACAACACAACAAACTTTATTGATCCGTTATACAGAGACAACAACAAAACTCTATTGATCTGTTATACAGAGACAACAACAACATTTTATTGATCCATTATACAGAGACAACAACAAAACTGTATTTATCCATTATACAGAGACAACAACAAAACTTTATTTATCCTTTATACAGAGACAACAACAAAACTTGATCGATCCATTATACAGAGACAACAACAAAGCTTTATTGATCCATTGACAGTTGAGATAATAATGACATGGCTCGGAGTCGAAGGGCGTTACAATGACGATGATTACAAGGTCTTATCACGAGCCATTTACACTCAAAGGTGATTTGCAGGAGAACCATGGACACAGCAGTGATGTGACAGCTCATTACAGAACTGTCTGTCTCTCGTCTCTTCTCCTCTAGTGTTACTGTTATGTGGGCAGCTTGTCTCTCCCTTTTCTGTTTCCCTTCCTCCTTGTTTTGTCCCCTCTTTGTCTGTTGTATCTGTATGTGTGTTTGTCCCCTTTATGTGGGTGTGTCTGGAGTGGATCAGGGGGCGTGCTCAGGATCTGCCTCTCCTGTGCAGCTGCGGGTTGTTTCCAGTGATTCCTGCCTACGCAGCTGCATCCTATTCTCTCATCAACCTGCACTACTAATTCCTGGGCATGGCTCTCCACCGGCGCCAGATCGTTGTTCTTACTAGAGCGGTAACTTGGCTCACCAGTAAAGTTATATTATCTTAGTCTTCAGCCTGGCTTTTTACTCTCCTTAACCTGTCGTTTGTTTTGTCTTCAGTTCAGACATACCTCCCTGCCTGCCTGCCTGCCTGCCTCAACCTCTCCTTCCTCCGGAGCCGACTAGCCCACTCTGTTCCTTTTCTTCAGTTGTTTTTTGGACTAAGACAAATTGAACTTTTATTAAAATAATTTTTGTTTCCTCCACTCCCTTAGTCGTGTTTGTTTCTCTGAGTGCTGGGTTGAACCATAGCGTAACAGTTACACAGCTCAGGGACTCACAGCACAAAACCTGGTCAGGCCGACAGTGATATTCTTATATCCCTGGCCTTGTCTGAATGGGCTGTGTGGCGAGGACAGTGGTGTAAAGTACTTAAGTAAAAATACTTTCAAGTACTACTTAAGTAGTTTTTTTGGGTATCTGTACTTTACTTTACTATTTATATTCTTGAGACCTTTTACTTTTACTTCACTACATTCCTAAAGAAAATATGATACTTTCTACTCCATACATTTTCCCTGACAACCCAAAGTACTCATTACAATTTGAATACTTAGCAGGACTGGAAAATTGTGAAATTCAAGCACTTATCAAGATAACACGTGGTCATCCCTACTGCCTTGGTCTGGCGGACTCACTAAACACAAATGCATCTTTTGTAAATCATGTCTGAGTGTTGGAGTGTGTCCCTGGCTATCCGTACATTTTAAAAACAAGAAAATGGTGCCATCTCCTTTGCTTAATATAACTAATTTGAAATGATTTATACTTTTACTTCTACTTTTGATACTTAAGTATATTTTAGCAATTACATGTACTTTTGATACTTAAGTATATTTAAAAACAAATACTTTTAGACTTTTACTCAAGTACTATTTTACTGGGTGACTTTCACTTTTACTTGAGTAATTTTCTATTAAGGTATCTATACTTTCACTCAAGTATGACAATTGGGTACTTTTCCCACCACTGGCCATGGATGTGTGGTTAAGGTTAGGTACGCTGGATCATTTACATTCACATTTACATCATTTAGCAGACGCTTTTATCCAGAGCGATTTACAAATTGGTGCATTCAACTTATGATAGCAAGTGGGACAACCACTTTTTTTCTTCTTTTTTTTATGGGGGGGGGGTGGGGGAGGGCGGGGTAGAAGGATTGCTTTATACTATTCCAGGTATTCCTTAAAGAGGTAGGGTTTCAAGTGTCTCCGGAAGGTGGTCAGTGACTCCGCTGTCCTGGCGTCGTGGGGGAGCTTGTTCCACCATTGGGGTGCCAGAGCAGCAAATAGCTTTGACTGGGCTGAGCGGAAACTGTGCTTCTGTAGAGGTAGGGGAGCTAGCAGGCCAGAGGTGGATTAACGTAGTGCCCTCGTTTGGGTGTAGGGTCTCATCAGAGCCTGAAGGTAAGGAGGTGCCGTTCCCCTCACAGCTCCGTAGGCAAGCACCATGGTCTTGTAGTAGATGCGAGCCTCAACTGGAAGCCAGTGGAGTGTGCGGAGGAGCGGGGTGACATGAG